TAAAGTTGGAGCTCCTGGTACAGCCGTACCAGCACAGCAAGAGTTGCTAACTCAAGCCCCAACTACACTGCCATATAAAATCCAGAGTATCTGCTTTGAACTGGATTATATGGCAGTGTAGATTCATATAATCAAGGTCAAAGTAGGTAATAAGAATAATAATCTGGATTATTGTATGGCAGTGTAGAGGGGGATCAACAAATATCCCACTTATACAGAGAATAATAAAATTTAACGTATCTATATAAATAAAAATGTAATGTTCGTAACTCGAAATCTACTGGACGAATTGCCGCCAAATTTGGCCACAAGACACCTACTAACCCAAGCAGTGACCATCACTCAAAAAAATGGTTTTGTCATCTGGGAATTGTAGTTTCTGGGTTTTATAGTTCACCTACAATCAAAGAGCAGTCTGAGCTCCACCAACAATGGGATTGAACCAAACTTGGCATACAAAACTCCAATGACCAACACAAGGGTTTGGTGGGCATTGACCGTGAGTTTGGGAGTTGTAGTTCACCTACATCCAGAGAGTACTGTGGAATCAAACAATCGATTTTGTCATTTGAGAGTTGTAGTTGCTGGGATGTATAGTTCACCTACAATCAAAGAGCATTCTGAACTCAACATTTATCTGCTTTGAACTGGGTTATAGGAGTCTACACTGTCATATAATCCAGTTCAAAGCAGATAATCCAGATTATATGGTACGATAGAAGGGGTCCAAGTCTGTTATAATCCAGATCCTGCCTGTGGACGTTTGATTTTGAGATTGCCACTCCCAGAATCCCCTAATGGCTGGGAGATTTTGGGGGACTGCAATCCAAAACTCAGGCCTACACAGCTATATAAAAACCAGATTATTTACTTTGAACTGGATTATCTGAGTCCACACTCTGATAAAGTGGGATTTTCTACCTTGATATTCTGGAATATAGGACTGTGTGAATGGACCCCCAGATGAGCAAAGCAAATAATCCACATTTATCTGGTTTGAACTGGATTATAGGAGTCTACACAGTCATATAATCTAGTTCAAAGCAGATAATCCAGATTATATGGTATTGTTATAACCCAGATCCTGTGGAAGCTTGATTTTGAGACTGCGACTCCCAGAATCCGGGCCCCCAGATGATCAAAGCAGATAATCCACAATTATATGCTTTGAACTGGATTATAGGAGTCTACACTGCCATATAATCCAGTTCAAAGCAGATAATCCGTATTATATCATAGTTGTAACTCAGATCCTGTGGAAATTTGATTTTGAGACTGCCACTCCCAGAATCCCCTAATGGCTGGGAGATTTTGGGGGGCTGCAATCCAAAACTCAAGCCTACACTGACATATTATCTGCTTTGAACTGGATTATAAGAGTCTACACTGTCATATAATCCACTTCAAAGCAGATAATCCTGATTATATGGTATTGTTATAACCCAGATCCTGTGGAAGTTTGATTTTGAGACTGCCACTCACAGAATTCCCTAATGGCTGGGAGATTTTGGGGGCCTGCAATCCAAAACTCAGGCCTACACAGCCATATTATCTGCTTTGAACTGGATTATAAGAGTCTACACTGTCATATAATCCAGTTCAAAGCAGATAATTCAGATTATATGGTATTGTTAGAACCCAGATCCTGTGGAAGTTTGATTTTGAGGCTGCCACTCCCAGAATCCCTTAATGGCTGGGAGATTTTGGAGGCCTGCAATCCAAAACTCAGCTATATTATCTGCTTTGAACTGGATTATAAGAGTCTACACTGTCATATAATCCAGTTCAAAGCAGATAATTCAGATTATATGGTAATGTTAGAACCCAGATCCTGTGGAAGTTTGATTTTGAGGCTGCCACTCCCAGAATCCCCTAATGGCTGGGAGATTTTGGGGGCCTGCAATCCAAAACTCAGGCCTACACAGCCATATTATCTGCTTTGAACTGGATTATATGGCAATGTTGACTCATATAATGCAGCTCAGAGCAGACAAAGTGGCTTATCTGCTATGATAATCTGGATTGCATGGCAGTGTAGAAGGGGCCACAGATACACTTTCCCAACTCTGGCTGAAGTTATTTACAAAGGGCAGCCTGAGCCTCTACACAGACCGGTTTGATTCCTCCCAAGTTCAGCCTTTCCCCCTCCCTCCAGTTGCTGTGGGTCTGAGAAATGGGGCCCAGGCTCCCCTATGCCCTCCCACCCCACTCGTTCCCCCAAATGTCTATTTACACCCTATTATTTCCCTATTATGATTTCCCCCTTACCTAAGCCAGCCGGCTCCCACGTGGCTTTCCCGGAAGCGATGGCTTCCACATGCCCGGGCAAGTCCCAGGCTTCGGCCACGCCCCCTAGCCCTGATTGGACGCCTTCGAGATGCGATTTACATATTCCCTGCCTGGCGCTCCCTTCTACTGCGCATGTCTGTGTGGATCCCTGTGCTGAGAGTAAGGGAACTGGTTGTTCCTCTTTATTTGGTTTGCAGAATTGCATCTGCATTGCAGAATAGATACGGCTTGACACCACTTTTGAGTGCCATGGCTCTGTGCAATTGAATTCTGGGAGTTCTAGTTTGGTGAGGCACCAACTTTTGGCAGAGACCTTGGAAAACTACAACTTCCAGGAGGGTAAAGACCTTTCCTCTTTATTTGGTTTGCAGAATTGCAACTGTATTACAGAATTGATACGGCTTGACACCACGTTTGAGTGCCAGGACTCAGTGCTATGGAATTCTGGGAGTTCTAGTTTGGTGAGGCACCACCAACTTTTGGCCGAGACCTTGGAAAACCACAACTCCCAGGAGGCTAAAGACCTTTCCTTTTTATATTTGGTTTGCAGAATTGCAACTGCATTACAGAATTGATACAGCTTGACACCACTTTTGAGTGCCATGGCTCTGGGCAATGGAATTCTGGGAGTTCTAGTTTGGTGAGGCACCAACTTTTGGCAGAGACCTTGGAAAACTACAACTCCCAGTATTATGTAGCAATGAGCCCTGGCGGTTCGAGTGGGACCAAACTACATTGAATTCTACAGTGTAGATGCACTCTGAGGCACCAAATTTTGGCAGAGAAGGCTAGAGACATTAAAAAGCTACAACTCCCAAAAGGCTAAAGACCTTGGAAAACTACAACTCCCAGGAGGGTAAAGACCTTAGAAAACTACAACTCCCAAAAGGCTAAAGACCTTGGAAAACTACAACTCCCATGATTATTTAGCAATGAGCCCTGGCGGTTTGCGTGGGACCAAACTACATTTCATTCTACAATATAGATGCACCTCGAGGCACCAAATTTTGGTAGAGAAAGCTAGAGACCTTGGAAAACTACAACACTCGGGATTATGTAGCAATGAGCCCTGGCAGTTCAAGTGGAACCAAACTACATTTAATTCTATAGTGTAGATGCACTCTGAGGCACCAAATTTTGGCAGAGAAGGCTAGAGAAATTGGAAAGCTACAACTCCCAAAAGGCTAAAGACCTTGGAAAACTACAACTCCCAGGATTATGTAGCAATGAGAAACAGATATGTCCACCATGGACATATGTGTGGAATGTCCAGGGTGGGAGACAGAACTCTTGTTTGTTTGAGGCAAGTGTGAATGTTGCGATTGGCCACCTTGATTAGCATTGTATAGCCATGCAGCTTCAAAGCCTAGCTGCTTCCTGCCTGGGGGAATCCTTTGTTAGGAGGTGTTTTCTAACCCTGATTGTTTCCTGTCTGGATTTTCTTCCTGCGGTTCTCCATGAACTGCATCCATTTGTTTGAAAAATGTGAAGCAAGGCCTATGGAAACGATCCACGCACTATTTGCCTGATCACCCTGACATGACAAAACACTCCTACTGCTCATCAATATGTGGATAAGCCCATCTCCAACAAGTCTATCTGGGCCCACAAGGAATAGTCGCAGCCGTCCTTACAGGAATCTCCAGCAAAGCACAACTACAGTATTGCAAGAAATATCTATATTCTGTAGATGTTCTTCTCGTTGTGTTTCGCCTCTGTGAAGCAACTTGTCCAGTGCCTCGTGCTGCACAGTGATCATGCGCAGAAAGGCAAAGGCTGATAGGAACAACTCCATGGTTTGGGGCAAAGAAGCCATCTTTGCTACCTTTGTTTCAGGTAAGCCTTGTCTTAGAGAGCATTAGAAATCTGAGTGTGTGTTTGAGACTAGCCACTCTGAGTGTTGTTTTGTTTGGGAGGTGAGGCAGTGATTGACAGTTGCAGAGAAGCAATTAGTGACTCTTCGTTCCCTGTTCTTTGAAGCTCTCTGGGGGTGAGTGTTTGTTTCCTGTTTAACCTATATAAGCCAGGGCCTGAGCTCAAGTGGCAGTTGGGTTCCCACAGAAGTTGAGGAAACAACAATCCATCTTTGCTCCCTTTGTTTCAGGTAAGCCTTGTCTTAGAGTGCATTCAAAATCTGAGTGTGTGTTTGAGACTAGCTGCTCTGAGTGTTGTTTTGTTTGGGAGGCGAGGCAGTTGCAGGGAAGCAATTAGTGACTCATTGTTCCTTGTTCTTTGAAGCTCTCTGGGAGTGAGTGTTTGCTTCCTGTTTAACCTATATAAGCCAGGGCCTGAGCTCAAGTGGCAGTTGGGTTCCCACAGAAGTTGAGGAAGCAACAATCCATCTTTGCTCCCTTTCTTTCAGGTAAGTCTCGTCCTAGAGTGCATTAGAAATCTGAGTGTATGTTTGAGACTAGCCGCTCTGAGTGTTGTTTTGTTTGGGAGGCGAGGCAGTGATTGACAGTTTCAGGGAAGCAATTAGTGACTCATTGTTCCTTGTTCTTTGAAGCTCTCTGTGAGTGAGTGTTTGCTTCCTATTTAAGCCCTGTGAGGAGCGGCTTAAAGAGCTGGGCATTTTTAGCCTGAAGAAGAGAAGGCTGAGAGGAGACATTATTAGAGCCATGTATAAATATGTGAGAGGAAGCCACAGGGAGGAGGGAGCAAGCTTGTTTTCTGCTTCCCTGGAGACTAGGACATGGAACAATAGCTTCAAACTACAAGAAAGGAGATTCCATCTGAACATGAGGAAGAACTTCCTGACTGTGAGAGCTGTTCAGCAGCGGAACTCTCTGCCCCGGAGTGTGGTGGAGGCTCATTATTATTATTATTATTATTATTATTATTATTATTATTAAACTTTATTTGTACCCCACTAGCATCTCCCGAAGGACTCGATGCGGCTTACAAAGGCCAAGGCCTCAACACAACAACAGCAAACAATAACAATACAATTCAAAGCAAATTAAAACATAAGCAATAACAAAACATTACACTATTACGCAATAAAACCAGGGCCGGGCCAGTGATGGGTACAGATTAAAAAGTGCTGGGTGTGAGAGGTGGTATGTTGGAATTCTGGGCAAGTGCAATGTGCAGAGAGTCTTAAACTCTAATAAAGAATGGTCCGCCCCAGGAGACTGATGGATCCAAATGGTTTTCTGACGGCTCTTGGGGATTTCTCCACCTTCCTGGCTAGCGACACTGTCGATGCCCTGGTCTCTCGCTGGGACAGTGAGTTGACCAGGGCAATTGACACAATCGCTCCGGAACGCCCCCTCTCAAGTAACCGAGCTAAACCAGCTTCTTGGTTCACCGAGGAGCTGGCAGCGATGAAGCGAAAGAAGAGGAGGCTAGAGTGCGTGTGGCGCCAGAATCCCACCAATTCAGCCCAAACACATCTGAATGCCTTTTTAAGGTCCTACGGTGTGGCAATATTCATCACAGCCAATATTGCATCCGCGCAGAATCGTCCAGCTGAGCTTTTCCAAGTTGTCAGAGGTCTGTTAAATCCGCCAAAAAGCGAGATCTCTGATAACTTGGTGGCTCGCTGTGAAGCATTTGCTCGATTCTTCGCGGATAAAATTGAGCGGATTCGGTCAGGTTTGGACGCCATGTTAACGGCAGTCTCTGGGGATGTAACGAGAGCATCTGCTTGTCCAGTTTTGTTGGATTCTTTTCAATTGGTTCAGCTTGAGGATGTGGACAGGATCCTTGGAGAGATGCGACCCACCACATGCATCCTAGACCCCTGCCCTTCCTGGCTGATCAAGGAAGCCAGAGGGGGTTTGGCAGAGTGGGTGAAGGTGATGGTTAATGCCTCCTTACAGGAAGGAGAGTTTCCAGCGAGCTTAAAACAAGCTATTATAAAACCGCTGTTGAAGAAACCATCACTGGATCCCACCCAATTCGACAACTATCGGCCAGTTTCCAATCTCCCCTATTTGGGCAAAGTCATGGAACGTGTGGTGGCAACACAACTCCAGGGGTTTCTGGTAGACACTGATTATCTAGATCCGGCACAGTCTGGCTTTAGGCCGGGACATGGAACTGAGACAGCCTTGGTCGCCTTGGTAGATGATCTGCGCAGGGAACTAGACAGGGGGAGTGTGTCCCTGTTAGTTCTGCTGGACCTCTCAGCGGCCTTCGATACTGTCGATCACGGTATCCTTCTGGGACGCCTCATGGACATGGGGCTCGGGGGCACTGCTCTGCGGTGGCTCCGATCCTTCCTTGAGGGTCGGTCCCAGAAGGTGTTATTGGGTGACACCTGTTCGGCCCCACAACCGTTGTTGTGTGGAGTCCCACAGGGTTCAATTCTGTCCCCGATGTTATTCAACATCTACATGAAGCCGCTGGGGGAGATCATTCGGAGTTTCGGAATGAGATGTTATCTCTACGCAGATGATGTCCAAATCTGTCACTCCTTCTCACCTGTCACCAAGGAGGCTGTCCAGACCTTGAATCGGTGCTTGGCTGCTGTGTCGGACTGGATGAGAGCTAACAAATTGAAATTGAATCCAGACAAGACAGAGGTCCTACTGGTCAGTCGTAAGGCCGAACAGGGTATAGGGTTACAGCCTGTGTTAGACGGGGTTACACTCCCCCTGAAGACGCAGGTTCGCAGCTTGGGAGTGATCCTGGACTCATCGCTGAGCCTGGAACCCCAGGTCTCAGCGGTGGCCGGGAAAGCTTTTGCACAATTAAAACTTGTGCGCCAGCTGCGCCCGTACCTTGGGAAGTCGGATCTGGCCACGGTGGTCCACGCTCTTGTCACATCCCGACTGGATTACTGCAACGCACTCTACGTGGGGTTGCCTTTGAAGACTGCTCGGAAACTCCAACTAGTCCAGCGGGAGGCAGCCAGATTGCTCACCGGAGCGGCATACAGGGAGCATACCACCCCCCTGTTATGCCAGCTCCACTGGCTGCCGATCCAATTCCGAGCACAATTCAAGGTGCTGGTTTTGACCTACAAAACCCTATACGGTTCCGGCCCAGTGTATCTGTCCGAACGGATCTCCCTCTACATCCCACCTCGGAGTCTAAGATCTTCTGGGGAGGCCCTGCTCTCGACCCCGCCTTTATCACAAGTGAGACTGGCGGGGACGAGGAGCAGGGCCTTCTCAGTAGTGGCCCCCCACCTGTGGAACTCACTCCCCGGGGAGATCAGATCAGCGACTTCCCTTCTCTCATTCAGGAAAAAGCTGAAAACTT